TCAGTCTGAATAATCTTGTTTTGTGACAAACCTCCTAAATCACAAAGGAGTGATGCAATTTGTATGGGTGAAATGTGCTCCACGGGGATATTTAAAGTTGAAGAATAAAAATGAGAATTAGACAATACAGAGCTCATTGAAAGCCAGTTTTCCAGCTGCTCTAATTTCCCACAATTTAATTTGTGTGCCGTCAAAAGCAACTTGGAGGCTTCCAGCAAGATGATAGAGCAATGGGTGAGGCTAAACGGTCTAAAATGTGCTGAATGCATTGCAGTCCCATGCTGTAAAAACATCTCCTAGGGCCAGATGCAGGCAGCATAATATCCTAGTAAATTGGACCATTAAATAAAATCGTGAAGTCATAAAGCTGTAGCATTACCCTGAAATTAAAGCACTGTCACCTTTGAATTATGGAACAATTTAACAAGCATTTAGGAAATATGCTTTTGAAGGCTGCATTTAACTATTACAGGCAATACAGTAGATGCTGTGGCTTCACTCTCCTACTGGGTTTAGAATTATTTTCAGCTTGTGTGTGGTTCAAAATTTTACCAAGCTGAGAAAGTAATAAAACAATAAAGTTAAATAACAGAAGGTAAAATTAGGCAGTGACCTTTGCCTGGAGAACAGCTTTTTCATTGTCATTGCAAATTCAGAAGCACAGGGAGAGCTAGTTAAATTGAGTAAACAGGAAAAAAACATATAGTATGGATAGATATAAAAATGTAATGATAACTTCTTTGTTGAAAGAAAAAGGAAAAGAGTTCCTTATCTGCCTAGTTTAACAGTTTCCAGGTATGGAAATATCTAGAAGGAACTAGTGGCACTCAACTTGATTTGCATCTATGATTACAGTGCCACCACCTAAAAATGTAATGAAAACAAAACAAAAAAGAATAAAGATTAAAAAAACAAACCTGAACCTCATGTTGTGAAATAGGAACAATATTTAAAGCCCTAATTTCAAAAGCCATGACATAATCTGTGCAGAGGCATGACTGCAAAGGCATATGCAGGTCTTAGAGCTAAGTTGCAGACAGCTTTGCACTGCTTTCTAGGTGTAGTGATCTGTGTGCATGTCGATTGCAGCTACATTTCTGACGCAGGTTCTGAAGCTTGTGAATGTGAATTTGAGGAAAATAATATTATCTTTTTCTTAATGCTGCCAGGTTTAAGGTGGAGAAAATGGTGCTTGAATAAAACCCAGAAGTTGACCTGAATGGTGAGGGTCTTCAGAAGAAAGGCTGGGATTATTTTTGTGCAGTTTTCAGATCTATGGAGGCAGGTGCACATAGTCTTGCTATTGTCTTGGAATAGTTCAAAAATTTACTACCCTCCTGCTCTTAGTTACTTCTCCCTCAGTCAGTTGAGATGCAGGAGGGAGAAGTAGCTCTCCCACTCTGTCCAAAGCAAACTAAAGATTAAATCATTTTCAGGCTCATTTGCTGCATGTAATCAAAGGGGTGTCCTTTTGAAAGAAGGAACTTTCCCTATTGTTGGTTTTTTTTTCTATCTGTATCTAGCAGGTGCCTGTGACTTCGTGTACATTACCTAGCCCATCTTTGCTTCACATCCCTCTTGCTAAAATGTGTGTACTTATTTTTTTCCCTGGGAAGTGGGAGGAAGTATGGCTGAAATAGTTGAATTTGTCTCTCTTCTTCCTCTAACATTGTTGTCACCAGCTCTTTTGTCTTGCATCTGTGGTGTGTTAGCTGCCCTTCTAATCTAAAGGCTTCCTTTCAAACTACAAGTTTTTAAAGCCTCTTTCACTGCTTTGTTGTTGTTGTTGATGTTGTTGTTAAAAATAAAAAAGGTAGCAGAGGATGTGTTTCTCTGTGCTCTTTCTACACCAGCTACATAGGGAAAAAAACTTTTGAATAGTGGTAGCTTTTGCCATCCCACAGGGATGCTTGGTGGTGGCTGTGGCTTTCCTTTTACTACTAGATCAGTGAGCTGAATGTATATATTTTGCAAGAATGTGCTGATGGTTACCTTTACTTTCAAGGTGGAACATAGAGGGAATCTTTGAAGTGACCAGCAAAGCACAGATCTCATTGATCTATAAAATCTCTGAAATGTAAATCTGGAATTCTTCCCTTCTGCTATTACTTTTTTGAACTCTCTGTTCTTATGTACTTGCAAAATCACAGTTACTTTGAGTACAGAAAGAAACTTTGTTTTCCTTTTCCTTTGCAAACTAGAGGATGGAAAATCCGAAGTTAGCGTCTCAGTTCTAAAAGATCCTGTGGAGAAAAGCAGTTCTTGAATGTCATAGTTCACATTTCAGGACAGGTGAGCACAGCTGTAACAGTAACAAGACCACTGAAAATTAATGAACAATTACAGAGGAAAATCAGATAAAGAACTGTCTATTGTCTGTCCAACACACTTGTTAATGAGTGCTTGTCACTAACAATATGTTTGTTGAAGTCTTGTCCATCTTCATTTCAAAGATATCAATTAATTATATTTCTAACACTTCTTGGGAAGACTGTTTTATGCTATGGTATTTTTAAGAAGTTTTTCCTAGTACTCCTATGTTGCTTTTAAACTACTAGATTTTTATGCTTTCAGCTTTTCAGGTACCGACACAGCACCTTTCTTGGTGCACAAATACACAGCCTGGAAAGCACAGTGGTGTTAACCACTCTGAATCTCTAGCCTGTTGTAATTCCTGAACAGCACTGTAGCCACTATTGTAAGCATTGTAATTTCTCAAAATTATGTTACTAACTCTCAGTGGGGAGGATCTTATGACTGCCAATCTGGACTTTCAGCAACCAGTTAATTCCATCCTCTCTTGGGTTTACATGTTCCTTAAAGTATCTGCAACTTGGTGTTTGTCTTTTTTAGTAGTTTTTTCAGTGAATGTAGGAGTTAAACTTCTTCCAGCTTCAGTGAGAGGAAAGTTAGAACACCCTCAACTGCTTTGAAAAAATTCATTCTGTTCATGTCAGTCCTTGAGAGAACAAAAATAAAAGCAGAGTGACTCTGGCTGATAAGAATCACTACTTTTATATGTGTGTTATGAAGTCATTGAATTATATTATGTTGGGTGCAATACGTGTGCAGGACTGTGCACGGTATTGGCTACAGTGTTGACTGTGATTGCAATCACTGGGACAAGTTTTACAAGCAATAAATTTGTGATGTCTTGTGACTTTAATCTATATTTTGTGTATCACACATTGCAGCAATGTTTCTTTGAGCTCCAACTCACAGGATCTATGAGCAGCATCCTGAACTCAGTAAGAACTACAGAATTACAGACCTGTGAGCAAACTCTTTCTGTCTACCATCACAGAAATAATGATAATGTTGTGAGTGAATGTATGGTTTGCTGAGCATAAACTGTCCTTAAGTTAATGCCATACATCACTGGGAGAGTAATTTCCCCATAACTTGCAGCTCGGACTTGGAACAGACCTCTTTAGATAGTCTCCAGATGGTGGTTTTTACTTGCTTGTCATCTGAATGCTTCCATAATGACAATCCATTAAATCATCTGAGTGTCTTTGCATGGATAGTCCATTTAGGATTTTTATACACCTATTAGAGTTATTTTGAAGTACTCTGTGGGATATTTGTAGCCTAATGGAAAATACTCCAACTGCGGTGCATTACAGTAGCCACATAGCTACTGGATTTGTTTTGCTGGTGTATTGGAGAGTAACTGGAAAACTCACGGAAGCTCTGCAAGAATTTAGATTAAGTAGTCTGGTAAAAACTTCTGAATACTTAGATACATAGTTTTTAAGATCAGTTTAGAAAAGATCTGATTCAGTGTTATCCAGGGTTTCCCTGTTGAAGCAAATAACAAAATAGAATCTCTTGTCTAGACCTTGCCTCTTCCTCTGTAACTCTAGATTACTGCAAGTCAGATTGAAATCTTCCTTTCATCAAATGATTAGAATTTACTTCCTTAATTTTTTGCTCAGTCAGTATTTTGTAGGTAAACAGGGTCTTTGATAAAGAGGGAATTTACTGGGTGTGACTCTTCATAATATTGTGGAGCACGTGCAGGGCTGAGTCCTGTGAATACTTATTAAGGAGTTTGCCTTTTGTTCTGGGTCACTTCAGCAGATTGGCCATTCAGGCTGTCCTTGTTATCTTACCTGTTACTATCTCACCAGAGCAAGCTGGGAAACAGCCTCCCTGCTAAGCTAATTGTTTCTAATTGCAGTGTTCTGCCTATCATATGCCAACTCCAGTGCTGCTCATAAGCTGGGTTGTTACAGGGCTGGTTGTGCTTAAGCCTAGATTCTGCTTTCTGTCAGCTACACTATCCCTTGCTCTGCCAGCAAATGCAATGAAGGAGATGAGAATGGGCTCCCCAGCATGGAAAATTATCAACATTTACAGTTAACTACAGATGTTATATCATATGTTGTTCTGTACCATCATCTAAGCACAGCATCACTCAATTTAGATACAGAAAAATCTGAAAACTGAATGAGTGATCTGACTTCCAACTGAGTGGTAAGAACATACTCTCAGTTTTAGGTTTCTGGCAACAGTTTGTGATTTCTGTTTGTGGTGAGTTTGTGCAAGCTCATCAGCCACAGTTCTCTGCTACCATTTGTTTAACAGAGTGGGCTTTGCTCTCAGATACAGCTATGTTTGTAAAACATCAGTGGTACCTCCATAATTATCTCTTTTCTTTCAGGGTCAAAGCTAGCTCAAAGGTATCTTAATTTTCTTTGGATACCTGGCGATAGAAGATGCTGCAGATTTTCTATGGTTCCTGGGGAGCTGGTAGTTTCCCTCTTGCTCAGCAGGCTCTGTAGTGTTTGCTTGAGCTGGTTCAGACAGAAACATCTCTGTGGGCTACACTGTCCTGTAATAGGTCTTCATCACAGAGTGACCAGGTTCCTGCTGATGCTCTCTTCCATGCAGTAAAACATGAGATTTCAGTCGGGTTTGTTTTTTCTTTTTTTGTTCTCTGTGTGTTGCAAGTTTTTTGCTGTTAACTTCCCATTCAATCCTTTTTCATTTAACAGAAGATAAGATCTGGACTGCAGTGCAGCACAACAACACAGGGCTAACCAGAGTCCAAAGAGCTGATATGGAGAAGCCGTATACCATGTTCTTTAATTACAACAGCAGCGCGGAGCAGCTTGAAGCCGTGATAAACAGTGCAGAGTACTGCGAACAGGAGGCAGCCTACCACTGCAAAAAGTCACGTCTCCTGAATACCCCAAGTAAGCACCATGATCCCAAATCTTTCGTTGTTAACTCTTAATTGATTATACAGCAGATACAGGCTGCACTGTGACTGAAGAGAAAAAATAAAACAAAACAAAAAAAACACAATCAAAATGAATACGGAATAGAGTGAAAAGCCTTTTATGTTCTTGGATACCACTGTGCAGTGCCTGTCCTCTGATGCAAGAGGGTCATAGCTCAGCAAGGGAGTTTCTGCTTTGTAATTTCATGCATGCAAGGGCTCTGAAAGCTTCTACAATGGAAAGTCCTACTAAGAAATCACAAGAGCTGTATTTAGCTGATAGCAAATGGATATGTTTATTAATTTGCAGGTTTTAACTGTATATTAAAGATAGGAAGCATCCAGATTGCTTCATATACTTACGATATTTATGGAGAGGAAGGGTGTACCGTCTTATGAGTCCCACAGCCCTGAACATGACGTTTAAGGTGTTTGGTTTTATGGTTTCTGAGGCAACACTAATTTTCTCCTCAGGACAGAAGGAATAAGTTTTTTTGCCCTGACTTAATGTAGCAGCAACAAGAAAGCAGAGTGTACGTTTATGTCTCTCTGTGGTACCAAGTTTCCGGTGGCTACTCAGGATGGCTGCCTTCCACTCCCTTAGAGTTGAGATTTTATGTTTGCTTATCCAGACAGATGAATGACATTAAGCCTCATCTAGTTACTTGTCATGTCTGTGTGGTCCTGGTGATTCTTTGATTATTAGCAACTCTTAAATTTGTTAGTAGATTAGAAGAAATCCCACAGAAAGCCTTAAGGGAAGGCTGCAATGGGAGTTCCTATTGTGTTAAAAATATATTGCCTAATGAGATGTATCAAAAACTGCCTGGTTCCAACAAAGTTACTATAACACTGAATATTTATGGATCCAGTAATCAGATGCCTTGCAGTCAGTTTATTTTTAAAACTTGTGAATCATGTCTTTTGTTATCATCAGAATTTACCAGCCAAGATTAGCCATTGCTAATAATTTCTTAAAGAATAGAATGTTAATATTGGCATCCAGGGGAGAGCCCAGAAGGAAAACAAAATGCAGGCATAACTGCTTATAAAGAGGGGCAAATAATGGCTTATTAATAGTTTTAGTGTTGCTTGCTTCTGTATCCCACACCATACTTGACATATTATAAAGATATAATCACACTGTGATTATTTCCAAAATCTTTAAGTGTGAAGGCTACAATATTACAGAAGGGCTTCATGTGTTTACTTTTACACATTTCTGTGAGGTACTTGGTCATGCGTACACAGGAAGGTACCCTATGACTGCACTTTGAAATACCTTTGTATGTGGTGCCTCTATAAGGCTAGGGACACTTCTTATGGATCCAGGCCCACTACTCCTTTAGAAGAAAAAAAAAAAACCACAAAAAACTAAACAAAACAACTAACTGAAAAAAAAAAAACCCAAACAAACAAAAAAAAACACCACCAAAAAGGTAGTGATAATCTTGTGTAAATTGACAGTTTATAAACTATCTTGCTTCAGGACTAATGCTATCTATAGACTGGCTAAGACAATTCCAGAGGTAGCTCCTTCTCTGCTTGTTCAGGACCAAAGCTGTGACTCTGACTCCTCAAAGAAGAGGACTCAGGGTTAGTGTCCAACAGCCTGGCTTGTGCTCTTGCAGCTGCTGCACTGCCACTGTGGTCCTGACAGTTGATCACACAAGAATTGCACAACTCATAAATCTTTAATACCATTCCAGCTGATAAATGAGAAAAAAACTCCAATCCAGTGCTGTGCATGTGGCCAACACCATCATTTTTTCCTCTTTTTTTCTTCCTTTTTTTATGCTTTTTAATTATACTTTCAATTTTTCATCCTGAACATTCTCAGTAGCCTAAGGCTAGATGCGGAACATGCTCAAAAATAAATCATTTGAGTTCTTGAAACAACAAGATATGGGTAACCGTTCTTAGCTAAGTATTAAGTGTTTTTCAATTATTGTTTTTTCCCCACTGACTTAAATAGCTCCATTAATCGACATTCATTTTGAGATGAGCTGCTGCTATATTAAAGCCTAGAGAACCAGTGGTGCTGAACACTATAGGTGTCTTGAAAAGTTCTATGATATAACAAATTTACATTCCCAAACTTGAAGATGAGCTACAAATGCAAATAACCCAGAGCATTTTGGTGGACTCACTGCAGAAAGTTGTCACCTGTGTTGTTTATTCCCAGAAGTGACTGGAGGGAGTTTGATTTGGGGCCAGAACAACAGGACAAAAATCAAAACTGGGGGGGGTTTGTTTCTTGATTTAACCTAGGCTTTTGGATACTTTAAGTACTATGTTCTCTCTGTGTGGCCAGGTATCATAAGGTGTAATTATGGTTAACAAACCACACTTCAGATCTTCCTTCAGAATATAGTATGCAATTCACACATACTGATGGCAATGCAGCTTTTATAGGCCAGCAGGAAATATTACATGACCCAGTCGAGCATGCTGAATATCACCACTCATTAATACCTCTAGAAGAGGCCCAGCAGTGAATGCTTTATGGAAGGGCATCTCCCAGAGGTGTATCTGATCCTGACAGAGCCATAAAAGTTCTGTTTCTTGCAAGGAATCAAATCCATTTCTGAGCTTCCTCTTATTTAGGGTTTTGTTCTTTTTCTTCCAAGGAGATGGAACACATGGTTAGGTTATCTCAGCAGTAACACCAAATGCCCAAATCCTTGTCTTCAGGATCTAAACACTGTCATGTTTCACAGAGAAACAATAAAAAAATCTTTCCTTTTGCATTCATAATGTTCCTCTCCAGCAAAGACACATGTTCTTACACAGCAGGCTTTCACAGCTTTGACATGGGGAAAAGAAAAATAAAAAAATATGCACCTGGCCAAAGGGACAAGCATAGCACTCTGGGCTGCCTCAGAGACAAACTAAGGGAGGCTCCTGGCTTGCATAAAGTTGTTCCAGTTTATATCAAGGAATTTGTGTTTCCTGTCTTCCTACTACTTTGTGACCTGAAGACACAGGCACATCCCTAGTGGGTGTGATTCAATGTAGTCTCTCCATTGAGTTACATGCATTTACATCTGCAATGTGTCAGACATGCAGTCTGGCAGTTGGCAAAGGCGTTTACTCATCTCCACCTCCCACAGTCTGAAACAGCCTTATCAGTTCCTATTGTCATGCTATGGCTTAGCTGCAAGTGTTTCTTTTAAAACTAAACTTAAATTGTCCAGAACTGCATTTTTATACATCTCTGCCATCAGATAGATTTTCTGGAGGTTTGTGAACATCAGAATAGATGTCTTTTCATCAAAAGAATAGCTGGCTTTCTCATGATGGTGGCAAACAAATCTTACAATTTATGACCAGTAATTGCAATTCTCTTGTGACTTCTCCACGCCTGTTGGAGAGACACTCACATAGCCAGATCAAATCTGACAGTTGGCATTCACACTCATTCACACTCTTACTAAACATTGCAGACTTTACCACCACCTCTTCCTTAGAAGCACAGACGGACAAGGAAGCAGGAGAGGAGGGGCTTAGTCAGGAAGCTTAGGCTACTTCTAAATGTGCTGTCTGTATTCTGGGAATCTGAAAAGAAATTTAGACCCCCCTAGGGCTCTGATTTCCTTTCTTTGAGGAGCATCTTGGGTAATATCTAGGAAAAGGGTATGTGTGTAAGGATTGGTGCATGCATGCACATGCAGGTTTAATTAAACTGTTAAAACCAAGATGTTTGGAGGTATGAACATGCTATTAGCTAAACAAACTGTCAGCTCTGAATCTGCTGTTTTCTAGAAGCTGTGGGTGTACTGAAAGGCTTAACATTTGGGAAGCTGCCTCACATCCACCTTATCAAGGACTTAACACGGTGATGGCTGTATCAGTGGCAGGATAGCTTGCTTTACAATACTTGGCTGACAGTCTGTCAAGTTCATAGCATATTTGTGTAGGCAGGGACTGAGAAAAGATCAGTCGTAGAGCAAAATCAAAGAAATAGGAATGTCTTTAGGTGGTGTTTTTTCCCTTCCTGCTTCCTTATTTTTTGTTTTTCCAATAAATTTCCCATACCAAGTCACCTCAAGCTTTGATTTCAAACATCCATCCTAAACTATGCCTGAACTTCTCCCTGTCTCTCTTAAGATTTGTCAAGTCCCAGTATTATATGTCTTGCACCCAGGCTTCCACCTCCTTCCCTCTACCTTCCAGCTAGACCTGTATCTCAATACCAAGCTGCATCACGTCCCATCTCTAGGTCTCTGATTTTTTATGTGAAACAGCTGTTTGCCCTCACCTGTGAACCACTGCATTTGCATTTCATTCCTCTATCATTGGAGGGAAAGATGTAGCAGTACATCACAGCAGGAAGTGTGTCTTAATTTCTGAGTTTAGACTTGAGTTTAGACTTAATTCTGCTGCTAAGACAGTTCAGTTATGTTTTATCCATGCCCTGCATGTTGCTAGAGCTCTTCATCTGTGCAGGCTCTCTTTTTAGTTCCAGACTAGACCTTGAGCAATGTCAGAGCATAAGATGCCAGGAGATGTTCTACAGAGTCCTGCCTCCAATAGTGGCGACTGGAGAGCTCCAGCTTACGTTGACAATTCTGGACGTCTTCAGCACATCACTCAAGATGTTCCCATCACCCACACTTGCTCTAGTATGACAGTAACAGTATCAGAGTAAGCTAGAGATTGGAAGGGACCTCGAAAGATCATCTAGTCCAATCCCCCTGCCAGAGCAGGAACACCTAGATAATGTTACACAGGAATGTGTCCAGGCGGGTTTTGAATGTCTCCTGGGAAGGAGACTCCACAACCTCCCTGGGCAGCCTGTTCCAGTGTTCCGTCACCCTCATTGAGAAGAAGTAATGGTATTAGACTTTATGCCATTGCCAATCACTTTTAGAATCCACTATGGAGCTGGTGTTCATAAATTTAATCTGGTTTTGAGCTTCATTATATTACTTGTCTCTGCAGCTTCTTACGAAAGCAGTTTCCAGCAATTCC